GAAGAGAGGGCCTTTGAGCCTGTGGCTGAAAGGGGAGCTCAGGGAGGGCTTGGTGGTTAAGGGCAGGGCTAGGCCTGGTCTCTGCCACATCCCACCTGTGGGATCCTGAACACGTTACCTCATTCCTCTAAGCCTCTGTTTCCTCTCCTGGAAAAAGGTGTTCTCATTTGTTTGGTCTGCTCTCGGCTTCCTTCTCAGAGGGGCAGTGATCTTTGTTTTGTCCACTGCTGGATCTACAGCACCTAATAGAGTGTCTGGCACATGGTCAGCCCCAATAAATATTTTTACTTAATTAGTTTATTTTGTATTTTAACATTTTTATATAAGGCATAACTTTTATAAAGTACAGCAACCTTAAGCATCCAGCCAAATGAATTTTAAATGTGTGCCTGTGCATACGTGTGTGTACGTGTGTGTGTGTGTGTGTGTGTGTGTGTAAAAACCATGTAACTATCACCAGGTCAAGTCATAGAACATTTCCAGCTCCACAGCAGGCTCCCTTGTCCCCCTCCTCACAGTCACCATTATCCTGATTTTGATCAGCATCTATTAGTATTGCCTGTTCTTGAACTTCATTTAGGTAGGATCATGGAAAATGTACTCTTGTGGGTGGCCTTTTTTTGTGGGATACACTCATATTATTGCATGTGTTTGTAATTCGATCCTTTAAAACATTGCTGTGTATTAATCAATTGTGTTATTATGCCACAAATGTATTCATCCTTTTGACTCTGATGGGCATTAGGCTGTTTCTAGTTTTTGGCTATTTGAGTAAAGCTGTTGTGAACACTTTTTTGTAGATGTCGTTTGATGGACACCAGCATACCTTTCTCTTGGAAAGGAGTGGAATGGCTGTGCCACTGTGTAGTTGGATGCTTAGCTTTAGTAGAAATTGCCAAACTGTATTCCAAAGTGGTTGAACCAATCTACACTTCCACCAACAGAGTGGAAGTGAGAGTTTCAGTTGTTCCCCATCATGGCCAAAACTTGGCATTTCAATTCAGTTGTTCTGGTGTGCATGTAATAGTATTTCACTGAGTTCTTATTTGCCTTTCCCTGAGGAGGAATGATGTTGAGCACTTTTTAAAAATATATATATTTTATTGATTTTTGTACAAAGAGGAAGGGAGAGAGATAGAGAGTTAGAAACATCGATGAGAGAGAATCATCGATCAGCTGCCTCCTGCACACCCCCACGGGGGATATGTCTGCAACCAAGGTACATGCCTTAGACCGGAATCAAACCTGGGACCTTTCAGTCTGCAGGCTGACGCTCTATCCACTGAGCCAAACCGGTTTCAGCTGTTGAGCACCTTTTCATATGCTGTGCCGTGTCAGCACAGCCAAGGGTTTGGCGAGCTTGAGGGAGGGTGGTGAAGGATGAAGAAAAGACAGACAAAGATAATAAGCTGGGTCTTGGTGGATCTCCTGGGCCTAGCTGAGACCACAGAGAACCGATCCTGAAGGCAAGCTGAGGCTTTATTTTATAGTCAGAGGGAAACAAGGGAGTGGTCACCATAGTTACAATGTTCTTGTGAGTTTCACTTGTTTTGGCAGCATTCGCTGCACCTCCCACAGTCCATTAGCTACTCAGGAAGGATCTAGGGAGTGTCATAAAGTCAAGCTTAATTTTGCTAAGAGGGCTGAGTCCACTAAGCTGGGACTTGTTTGTGGCTTTGCCAACTGGTCAATCTGAGGCTTAACCATATAGCCGCTCCCTACATATGCTTGCGCAGTTAATATTTGTTAGAAGAATGAATTGCCTTAGCTGGGTAGCTCAGTTGGTTAGAGCATCGTCCCAATACACCAACATTGTGGGTTTGATCCTCCATCAAGGTACAGACAAGAATCAACCAATGAAATGCATACGTAAGTGGAGCAACAAACCTCTTGCTCTTCCTCTCGTCAATCATTACATAAAAAACAAACAAACAAACAAAAAACACTAAAAAGAATGAATGAATGAAGAGTTGGGATAAGGATGGAAAGAAAGCTGACCCTGCTCCATGCCCTCCCAGTGGCCTCTTCATCGCTCTCAGGGCCGGGCTGAAACTCCTCCCTTGGATACGAGATCCGGCGTGCTCTGGCCTTTTCTGATCCCTTCGGATTCTCTCTCTCTAGATTCCTGTCACCCAACTCTCTTCAGGTTCCTCCAAGGATCTGCTCTGTCCTGCTTCATGATTTTCCCATAAGCTGTTTTCTTCAGCCTGGAACATAACCCAAGTCTCAGGAAATCAGACTCATCACCTGCATCTCAACTCAAAATTTCTTCCTCAGGAAGCCTTCCCTGACTTCCACCACCGGCAGGCAGGACTCTCTTAGGCCCTCTTCCTCCAGCCTTTTCTGCCTAGCTTTTACCACAGCCGTAAGCACCCCTTCCTTTATGTGATTATTTGATTAACCTGTTCCCCTACCATAAAAAAAAGGATTAAACCCTCACAAGAAACCCGAAAACTTTAAGCTCCATAGGAACACCAACTTCGCCTTGTTTCTTAAGACCTGACATGATGCTTCGTAAGTGTTTGCCGAATGTAGAAATGTTAAAGCAACAGCACATGGAATATTACCACCTGAAATGAATTAATCCTTAAAAACTCACTCACCCTGAGAGGTCTCTGGGACAACAGAAAAATCATTGAAAATAATCTTCCCTCCATTCCTCCCTCCCTCACTAGTTCCGTTGGGGGCTGTCTAAAATCCAATCACTGTTCCTGTTTTAGTTGGTGCAGATGGTGTGTGTGTGTGTGTGTGCGTGTGCGAGATCGTGCCTGTTCGCATGTGTGTGTGCGTGTGTGCGTGTGTGTGTGTGTGTGTGTGTGTGTGTGTGTGTGTGATGGAAACTACACATCAGTCAAGGGATTAAGGAGGAGAGGAGGGAAGAAAGGCATTGCTGGTGTCCCAGTGAAAGCCTAGACTCCTGGGCCCCAGCCCCAGCTCCTCTGTGACTGGCTGCCTCTGCATTAGATAGGTCTGAGGCAATATGGCAGAATGATTGGCATTATAGATTCCTCCCTTCCTAACCAGTCTGCCTGGGTTCAAAGTCTGGTTTAGCCACTTCCTGTCTATATATCCCTGACAAATTACTCTGCCTTGCTGAGCCTCAATCTCAACTACAAAATGGGGGTAATATGCCAAAACCGGTTTGGCTCAGTGGATAGAGAGTCAGCCTGTGGACTGAAAGGTCCTGGGTTTGATTCCGGTCAAGGGTATGTGCCTTGGTGGCGGGCACATCCCCAATGGGGGCTGTGCAGGAGGCAGCTGATCAATGTTTATCTCTCATCAATGTTTCTAACTCTCTACCCTTCTCCCTTCCTCTCTGTAAAAAATCAATAAAATATATATTTTTTAAAATGGGGGTAATAGCCGAAACCGGTTTGGCTCAGTGGTAGAGCGTTGGTCTGCGGACTGAAAGGTCCCAGGTTCGATTCCGGTCAAGGGCATGTACATTGGTTGCGGGCACATCCCCGGTAGGGTGTGTGCAAGAGGGAGCTGGTCGATGTTTCTCTCTCATCGATGTTTCTAGCTCTCTATCCCTCTCTCCTTCCTCTCTGTAAAAAATCAATAAAATATATATTTTTTAAAATGGGGGTAATAGCCGAAACCGGTTTGGCTCAGTGGTAGAGCGTTGGTCTGCGGACTGAAAGGTCCCAGGTTTGATTCCGGTCAAGGGCATGTACATTGGTTGCGGGCACATCCCCGGTAGGGGGTGTGCAAGAGGGAGCTGGTCGATGTTTCTCTCTCATCGATGTTTCTAGCTCTCTATCCCTCTCTCCTTCCTCTCTGTAAAAAATCAATAAAATATATATTTTTTAAAAATGGGGGTAATAGCCGAAACCGGTTTGGCTCAGTGGTAAAGCGTTGGTCTGCGGACTGAAAGTCCCAGGTTCGATTCAGGTCAAGGGCATGTACCTTATTGCGGGCACATCCCCAGTAGGGGGTGTGCAAGAGGCAACCGTTGATGTTTCTCTGTCATCGACGTTTCTAGCTCTCTATCTCTCTCCCTTCCTCTCTGTAAAAAAATCAATAAAATATAGTTTAAAAAAATGGGGGTAATAAAAGTATTCACCTCATGGGGTTGTTGAGAGCATTACCCAACTCAACTCATGTTCACTGTTAAGAACACAGCCTCAGAACATTGCTAAGGACACTGACTGTGAATGCTTATTAATTATTACTATGTGTGTAAACCTCAGTTTCTTTACCGCTGAAGTGAGGATCAATAGCTTGGTTATTTCCTGAGTGCTGCTCAACAAGGATGGATAAAATGCGGAAGTCCTTTGCACCCATGTGGAGACAAGAGCTTTTTGGGGGCCCTCCCTCCATGAGTGCTCTAAATCAGACTGGTCATGGGTTTGAATCCCACTTCCAGCACTTGGTAGCTGTGTGACTTTGGGCAAATCACTTCCCCTCTCCGAGCTTCGGTTTCTCCCACAGATTCATCAGTGTTCCCACCTCCTCTATTTCTGTGTCAGCTCTGGAGGGTGGCTGCCTAGGTTAGCCTCGTGGCTCTAGAAAAGCCGCCCAACCTGACTGCTGCCCTTTCCCCCTTCTTTCCTGAAAGGGAAGTCACAATAAGGATCTTCTAGGATCACAACTAGGAAGTCACAAAAAGAGGATCCCATAAGAATGCAGTTCCAGGCTCTCAGAGGCTCAGTTGCGTTCTGTTTTGCTATTATAGTTGTTGTGGTCATCGTTATTACAGTAAGATTTGAAAACTCGTCGCCAGGTCTGAATGCAAAGATCCGGGCAGCAGCAGCACCGGAGGGTTAGCACACACCCTCCCCGGCCCGATGGGGATGGGGTGGGGATGGGATGGGGCCCCGGGGGCCAAGGGCGAGGCGGAGGGGCGCGGGTCCGACCTGCACGCGTGGCCCACGCTCTGCGGCTGCGAGCGGCGCCCGGCGCCCGGCGCCCGGGGGGCGGGGCCGCTGCATCCCCGTGACGCGCTGGCCAATCAGACGGCGTTGCGGCCCCGGCCCCCTCCCGGCCGCCTCCCGCCCTCGCCGCCGCCGCCGCCGCCAGCACCCGGGCCTGTTCGCCAGCCGCCCGCCGCCCTCCGCCCCACGCCCGCCGGTGCCCGCCGGTGCCCGCGCCGGCCGCATGGCGCTCAGCGGCTTCTGCAGCGCCGATGGCTCCGACCCCTTCTGGGTACGTGTTCGGCGGCCGCCGGGGCCGCGTGGGGCGGCGGGACGGAGGGAGGGAGGTGGCCGGCAGGCAGGGAGGCCGGCTCCGGGAGACAGCGCCAGCCCGGGCGGTCGGGCCCCGCAGCCCCTGGGCACCGGCTGCCGCCCTGAGCGCCGCGTCCCCCGCTCTGCAGCCGGCCTCGGGGTCCCGCTCCCCGCTGGCCCGCGGCCGGCCCCGCCGGGAGTGCAACTAGCTGATGGGGGAAACTTGGGGTGACTCAGTTCCTGGGGAGCAGGCGTGCGGAGGGGCAGAGGAGGGAGGTTTGCATGTTGCCCAGGTCGGGTTTGGGGTTGGGGGTTGGGGGAAAGGTGAGGGGGGCAGAGCTTGGGGGAGGGGGTCGAAAGGAGGGGGTCCTTCCTGCTTTGGGGTACCTTCTCCGGTTAAAAATAACCTCCAGGGGAAGGGACGCCAGAGACAGAGGGCAGTAAAGGAGGTTGTCTTCCTGCTCCGAAGTTCCGCCGTCTTCTGGGTGGGTTGGGGTCCCCCTTTCACAAGGAATGCCCCGTTATCCGAGGGCTGAGCTGGGGAGAAGCTTCCTAGGGATTGGTTGAGGTTTACCCCAGTTTTATTTTATTTTTTTGCATCCACATTACTTTCAGATGGCCACACCTTTTTGTCATCTTTGACTTTCTTTCGGCTTAATTACTCTGGTGGTGGGGAGGTGTCTTGGGGAACAAGGGAAGAATTGGGGAAACTTGGGGAACAGCCAGAAAGAAGGCAGGGCTCTCACCCCTGCCATGTCTGGCCCGACGCTTGGCTAGGTTTGGGGTGCCACTGAGGATGCCCAGGACCCTGGTACTGATGGGCGTGCCATCCCACTCCTGTACAGCAGGCTCCTCTCGGTAGGACCTCCACCTGCTTCAACTTCAAGTTTTCTTCTGAGTGTTCAGCGCTGAGCCTGGCTGGGTTTTTCTCTCTCTGTGGTTTAATCCCAGTGTTCTCCGACTTCAGTTTCCTTCTGATGCGATTTCCTCCTCTGTTCCAGGAGGGCACCTCTGCCAGGCCATCTTGATTATTTGTAAAAACTATACACAGATTTGGACCGGATAGTTTTTCCTAAACTTCTGTTTAGGAATCAGAGATCAACATCCTGGGCTCTTAGGAGCTGGCGATTAGCATCCAAAAATACATTCTTGTTCTGTTTTGTGGTTCTTCTCTTGGAGGCTGCATTTGGAGTGTTGGAAAAGTCACAAGAAGGATTTATTCTTTTTTTTTTTGGCAGGGGTATCATGTGATAGAGCAACCCAAACACACCTTGGCATGCCTCCCATGTTCAGGCCGGTGGGGTCGGGGCTGGGAACAGCGTTGCCTTTGGGGTGTTGGAGTGGTTGGAGAGCAGGCCATTTTCAAAGGTGGAGTCTTATCTACCAGAGGGAAACCTGTGGAGTCCTTGGTCCCTGCGCCAGTGATGACAGCAGTAATGATTTCTGCAAGGATGCCGGTGGGGATCTGATCTAGCGTTGCTGTGAATTCTGGAGTATTTTCTTGTTTCTTTTCCTAAATGACAGAGGAGGGGTGGGGCAGGTGGAATAGGCAGCCATAAGTTAGAGTCTGCATCAGAATGTCCTTGATTGATGGCTAATGTGGTTTTCCAAAGTGCATGTGTTTGCGGATGCCCTCTGTGTATTTAGTTTAAGAAGCTCATCTGAAAAACCAGCTGGGTGTTTGCTCCTTGCAAGGACTTTTCGCTACAGAAATTGCCAAGTGACTGGCCTTCCCCTCTGCCAGGCCTTTCCTTTTCCCTCTGCCTCTCCTCCCTCTGGATACCTGGACTCACAGATACCCCAGTTTCTGGGGGTGATCTGGTACCGGAGTTTGATAGCAGACAGCGGAGGCCTAAGAACGTCCAGATAGCAGGAGAACCCAAATGTAACAGAAAGCAGGGAGCTTGTGTTTTCCTAGCGCGACATGCCCAAGGCCAGGAGCGGCTGGCCTCCCAGCTGTTAGATGACTGACTCTGCAACTCTGGGCAGGCCACGTTGCTTTTCTGTGTCTCAGTTTCCTCATCTGTGAAATGGGAGCAGGGGCCAGAAAGTCCCCACCTCCTAGGGTTGTGAAGAGTAAATGAGTTCTTCTGTAGAGTGGCTCAGCCTGTGCCCTGCACAGAGTTAAACAATGCTCATTCTTTTTCAAAGATGAAGGTTGTGTGTTTTGAGTTGTTTGTCCTTCCTTTGGACCCACTTTTTATCCAGGGGGTGGTGGTGGGATTGGGTCACCACCCCTTCACTCAGGCCTGATTCCTCCCCTGATCAAGGACAGGTGTTTAGAAATCAAGGTGACCAGCCCAGGTGACACTCCTATCAGAGCCCTGTTCCTTATCAGAGTGTGGAAATGGCCCGCGCCGAGGGTTCCACTGACACACTGCCTTTGCTAGGCAAATGCTCTGGGCTGGAAAAAGAGGAACTTCATTATCTCAATGGAAAATAGGGGCCGGGTTCAGCAGTTGGCTGCCTTTTTCCACTGGGGGTTCCTGGAGTGGGGTGGCTTGTAGGAGGGACTGCTCTTTGGTTGATGTTTGAATGATGGTTGGGAAAATGGGACTGGGTCTTTCCTTGTGAGTTAATTAAAATAATTTGTTTGTTTGTTTATTACTAGGTTGCATGGCCAGTATAGAAAAATTGCAAAATGTAGGAAAAAAAAGCATGCCCTAACCAGTTTGGCTCAGTGGGTAGAGCGTCGGCCTGTGGACTCAAAGATCCCAGGTTCAGTTCTGGTCAAAGGAATGTTCCTGGTTGTGGGCACATACCCAGTTGGGAATGTGCAAGAGGCAGCTGATCGATGTTTCCCTCACATTGATGTTTCAAACTGTCTATCCCTCACCCTTCCGCTCTGTAAAAAATCAGTAAAATATATTTTAAAAATGTAGAAAAAACAAATCAGTAAGCAGTGTGGTGTGGTGGCTCAGAGCGAGTACTTGAATGCCCTGGGTTCAAATCCTGACTCTGCAGCTTAACTGAGATGCTGCCTTCCTCCATGCCTCAGTTTCCTCATGTGGAACATGGGAGTGATAACTTAGTACCAATCGAATAGTGGTCATTCAAAGGATAAACGAGCTTATTCTTGACATGAACCGAGAATGCTGCTGCTTGATATACAGTTGGCATTTAGTCATTGTGAGTGGTCGACCCCAGTTCTCTAGTTAATATTAACCAGTTCTCTAGTTAATATTTGGTCCTAGTGTTACTTGCTACAGAGATGCTCTGAGCCATCCATCCTTCAACTCAGGAAGCCCCTGTATATTCGATTTAGCTGCCAACAGGTGTGAAAAGGGGGATATCTTAGAAGCTGTTAGAAATTCCTTTTAGGGTAAGGTCTGGCCTTGAGTCAGTCTAATTCCTGCCTTCCGAGCTCTGCACGGCTTCACAGCAATCTATGAAAAGCCAACATTTCTCCATCCTCCAAATACTCGGTTGGTTTTTCAGGCTCATTGCTTTGCTTTCCTCTCTCCTCCTTTTTGTCCGCCCCTCCTTCCAGTTTTCCCCCTCTCTCCCTTACGGATTGTTAGAGTTCAAAGGGACTCTGGAGCTTACGGGTCCCTTGAGTGCTTCACACAGGTTGAATCTGAGGCCTGGAATGGCAGTGTGACAGGTAGCGGAAACAGGGAAGCTTGGAGAGGACAGTCCAGGACGAGGCCTAATTCAGGGGACCTGGTTGCCCTTGGGCCTTGCAGAAGGAAGCCACAGCTGGCCTGTTTGGCATAGGCCAGTGGTCGGCAAACTGTGGCTCGCAGGCCCTTGAGTTTTTAGCAAAGGCCAGCTTAGGAGCACCCTGATTAAGTTAATAACAGTGTACCTACCTGTTTAAGTTTAAAAATTTGGCTCTCAAAAGAAATTTCTTTTTAAAAAAATGTATATTTTATTGATTTTTTACAGAGAGGAAGGGAGAGTTAGAAACATCCATGAGAGTCATCTATCAGCTGCCTCTTGCACGCCCCCTACTGGGCATGTGCCCGCAACCAAGGTACATGCCCTTGACCGGAATCGAATCCGAGGCCTTTTAGTCTGCAGGCTCTATCCACTGAGCCAAACCGGTTTCGGCTCTCAAAAAAGAAATTTTAATCGTTGTGCTGTTGATATTTGGTTCTGTTGACTAATGAGTTTGCCGACCACTGGCCTAGACTAACCAGGGGCCTGGACCAGCTTTCTATGTGAGAGTCTTCACGTTACACAGTCTTTGGACCATGGTGGTGGATGAAAAAATCTCTTTCTACTCCTGGACTCAGTTTTTAGGAATTAATATCTGCACCTGGGTATCTCCAGCTTACCCTGTCCCTCCCTTAGGCCTCCCATCTGAGTTAACGGCAGCCCCATCTTCTGAGGCTCAAACCAGAAACCTGTGTCATCCTTGTCTCCTCTTTTCCCCTCCCATCCCACATCTGACCTGTCAGCAGATCCTTCCCTACTCCCACTCTGGCCGGAGCCATGGCTTACTCCTGGATTTAAACATTGTCTCCTCATTGCTCTCCCTGCTTCCCTTCTTGATCCTTCTAGTCAAGTTCCAAGCCAGCAGCCAGAGGGATCCTGTCCCACTTCCGCTTAAAACCCTACACTACACCTGGCAGCGTCAGACTCATCATCTCTGTCTGACCTGTTGCCTGTTACTTTCCAGTCCCATTCCACACCAGGCACACAGGCCACGAGCTGCCCCAGGGCCTTTGCACTGGCTGTTGTCCCTGCCTGGAATGCTCCTTCACCTTTAATTCTGTGTTCAAATGCCACTCAGGCAGCCTTCCCTCTCCCCCACCCCAGTAGTCCCTGTTCTCAAACCCCCCAACCCATAGCACTTATTTATCACCTAAGACACCAAATATTTTACTTTTTTTTCTTCTCAGGGCAAGAGTTTTTGCCTGTTTGTTTATGACCATAATCCCAGCGTCTAGAACAGTGCCAGGAACATGCTAGTAGTAGGTGCTCAGTAAACGGTTGAACGAATGAATGCCATTAAGTGCTGGAATGGCTTTTGAA